CTGCAAGTCCTAAAACGACCGGCCGCTGCGAGACAACGAAGCGGCACAGTTCGTCACGTTTGTTCATTAGGCTGCACACGTTGGCGAATGCCACACGGAGGTCCTGGGAGGTACTGCGGGACGTGCCTGGAGGTTGAGCAACCGGTTGCTACGGGTTCGTACACCCTTCTTGATCACCCGAAAATTTACTATTTGTAAGTCTGTCTCACCTTCCTCTGTACGGCGTTTGAGCTCAATGACCGCAGTCTTCAAACGATCCCTGTCTTCGGGTTCCAAGTCTCGGCGGATGTGAACTTTTATGCCTTTCAACCTTGACAGACGAGACAGTATGAGCTGCGGCATATTGGGATTTTCAAAGGTGATTTTCAGAGGTCGACATGACTGGTTAGTTTTCTGGCCAAGTCGGATTACTTGTTTAATCGTCACACTGTCTTCGCCCACATCCAAGAGTCTACCGACGAGCCCCTGGAGGAACTCAACATCGTGATCATAACGTATCTTAGGGTTTTCATCTTTTGACTCCGGTACGTGGAAGACCATGAGATTATGACGCCTCGACGAAATCAGTGATGAACCTGTGGGAGCAGAACTAGAGGCGCTTAACTGATTGGGTTGTTGTTTATCAGCAGGTGACGTCTGAACTCGATTACGTGGGCCATTGCGCTTTTGAGTGGTCCATGGATTCTCGGTGTTCAGAAGTTCACAGACAGCCTCTGAGAAATTCACGGTCCGATCAGTGAAGCGGCATTTTCTAGCTTCCGAGTCTGAGTCTTCCATCGGTGGGGAATATTGAACCTGGGGCTCGGCCGGGGTCGAAGACGCTGGTGGTGGTGCAGATCGCGGAGTGACAATAGAAGGCGATGTGACAGAGGTACTTTCACGAGAGCGTTTGATCCCACGTGGTGAACGGTTTGTTTCTATCTGAAAGAGAGATTTTCCTGTAGTTGTTTGCGGTCTCTGCGTATTCTGATGTCTTGTACCGCGACATTTATCACACAGAACTTGAAAAAAACGATGTCGGATGTCGAGCGATTTTCGAAACACGTCAACGGATAAGCCAATGCACGAAATATGGAACAAAACATCACAGCCGGAGCACCGAAGTGCATGAGCGTTATTTACCACAACTTTCGAACACGAACCACAAGTAGCTTGAGACGGCATCACAAGCTAGAGCAAATCCAAGATGGCGGACACATGTGGCAGTAGAGCAGTTCTGGTTTCCTTCCTATGAAAGTTAGCTCCAACAGTTAAAGGCCACTTGCATCTAATGGCGTTGCCAAGATAGGCGAATTGGTTGACTATCTCCAATTCCTCCTCATCAAGCCTCAAGGGGTCAACGTTAGGAGGCTGCGTACTGGACATATATTTTTGTGACGATAGTTACATGCTTTCGTTCCGCTGCCGTCGTTTCTTTGGCATTTGTTTAACCATATCATTACTTTTCTCTGATTGACCGGCCTACGTCGTTCGTAGTGGATGTTGTCTCAAGGGCCCATTTCAGCTAATACCTTGTCATCGAACTCGCGAGATTGGTTTTTTCTTTTACCACTTCTCATTCGCCTGTGCTATTCTTTGTCTCTTGATGGTTAGCTCCAACGTGTTTTAGTAGCCTTGCTTCAACTACTCTTGCACTCTACCTAAATGAAGCAGATTTCTCGTGTACACAATTCGGTCCTGGCTCGTCTTCCATCTTTTCTTGGCGGTCGTGGGGTGCGAACGGCCAACGGCTACACAAGTTAGCAAGTGTTCTTGTGAACATTAATCGCACCTAGACTCAGCTAGATACACACATCCATGAAAACACTAGATGACCGTTTCGTTTTATTGGGACTCGCCGGTAGCGCCCACCCGCTGAATCCTGCCGGATTCGAACCCACGAACTCATTCTTACGAGTCAGCGACATGCCACTAAGCCACGGGTGATGGCAGCGGATTACCATGATTAATATCTAAGTGCGATATATCGCGGCTTATCCTTCACCATCATGCATGCTATGTACGTCGTTGATAATTCTGCGAAGTTGTTTCACTTTGGTGATGCTAGTTTTATCTGGAGTTTCATCTGTCATTTCACGATTATTATCCAAGTGACACTACCTTTATACTGTGATCCTACTGTGATCACCCTGGTATCCCACTATGGAATTCTCCATGATGGAGCGCCTGACCGAACTGATCGGAATAGCGGAATTGGATAACTTTGGCGAATCACTTGTCGGAAAAGCATTGACACTTAACCGTAGGCCGTGACTTGACGTGAAGCATTTGAGTTCGGAGTATGTAAATTGGTCACCTACTTGACGGAAGCACTTCCCGGACACGGGGTTTCAATCAACCAGCTAGGGCTCAGCCATACGGTTGAGAACGACACTCAATCAAACTTGACACCGCTTCGGTATCTCTGGATATTTACAACGATCTGTGGGAAGACAAGCTTGGTGCGGTTAATTCGATACGCGCGCGTTGGCCGTAGCTCCTAGCGTTGAATACGCAACCTCGGTGTTGATGTGCAGGCGCAGCTTGTTACCGTCCCTATCCATAGCTGAGTATCTTGAACCCAGCCAGGTTACGGAGCTGCGTGTCCTCAAAATACTGCTTGTGGCAGGAGACTATTGGGGTTGGGGCAATTCGAGTGCAGGTGGTAAAAGCTCCAGCGTAACAGCAGTCACGCTCGTCCACATTGTGAACTGCTGATGGAAAGTTGAGAATTTCGTTGTGGAAATGTATGATCAATATGAGTGTAAAGTGTGGATGAGCGGAATCAGTAGTTCTCTGCTTCCAATTAGCCCTCCTATTGTATGATGCAGATGAGATGCTCGTGTACCTATACGACGACAAGTGGAGTAGCAGTCTCAAATTTAGTATGGTCAGCAGTCTATCAAACACACATCGAGCCAAACATGACAATGGAACTCACCAAAAGAAGACAGGTTAAACACCGTATCAGCATCATGGCACATTAACTGTAGGTGAGCAACACACTTCAGCCGTCGTGCCGCAATGTAAGGAAATAACGGAGCATTTTTTTTGCTATTTTGCAAACGCCATTTTTATTTTTTTTGTCGTTTTTAATCGTTAAACATCCAGTATCCAAATCTAAGCAGTTATATACACAGATACTCCACTGGTTTCGATTACGAGCCATATTCTGAATTGTTTCCAGCCATCCGCAGTCCTCGTCCTTTGGTCCCCAACAAAGCAGACGTGTGGATCCAATGGTGGCAAGACGTGAAGTCAAAGAGCTCATTTTCTTTCGCCACGTGGATGGTGGACCACCACGTGGTCTCTTCCAGTTGAGTCCTGCACGAGCAAACAGAGCGCGATAGGGCAAACGCTCAGCTGACATACGCAAGACATGACCGAGCCATCTTAACTGGTGCAGCGAAATCAGCTTGTTGAAGGGAATGCTCGCATTCCCTAAGACACTGTTGCAAATGTGTTGTTGCCACCACACACGAGCAATCCTCCTCAAGCACCCGTTGTCGAAGGCAGAGAGCCGGCGCATATCGTCTACGCGAACTGGCCATGACTCGCTTCCATATAGCAACACCGCCCGAACGGTCGCATTGTAAACACGACCCTTTACCAAGTGGGAGACATCCCGACGACAACACAAGTTCTGCAGGTTGAAAACGTTGACCGAGATTTGGCTATGCGAAGAGAAACTTCCCTACTAATGGTACAAGCAGTAAACACAGCTGCCAAGGTAGACAAAGCTTTCCACTTGTTCAAGCTCTGTACCTACAATACTGAGCACGGGAACGGTTGTGTGCCAATTCTGAAGCAGCACTTTACAGTTTTACGGGGCAAAGCACATTCCGTACCTCGATGCCTCAATCGCCAAGCGGTCTAGAATGGTTTGCATGTTCTCTGACTCCTCACCGAGTAAGGCAATATCATCGGCATAATCCAAGTAGGTTGCTCGCTTGCCTGGTAATAGCTGTGTACCAAAATTTTGGCAACCACCTAGAGCTCTCGACAGGATATCTTCAATCGCAAAATTGTAGAGGAACGGGGACATAGGGCAGCATTTTCGTACGCCGCTAATGACAGTGAAAGTTTGCCATACACCCTCTACCAGAGATAGGGAACTACAATGCGCGTAGGACGGCGTTGTACTTTTCTGGGACACCGTTCCTTAGCAAACAATGCCATAGTTCAGGTCGATCAACCGAGTCGAATGCGGCACGGATGTCCAGGAATGCAACGATAGTAGGCCTCTGGTAAATGTGGCAGCGTTCCAGGATTTGACGGAGTATGAACATCTGATCCACACACCAGCGGCCAGGTCGGAGGCCAGCTTGTTCTTCCTGGTACTGCGATTCGTGAATTGGAGATAGTCTGCGGAGTAGAATGGATGCCAATAGCTTGGAGGCAACCGAAATGCGACTAATCCCCCGGTGATTGGTACACGAAGTGCGAGCACCCATCTTAAAAACCGGAACAATAACTGACTCGCCCCAGGAAGAAGGCACCTTTTCTTCATGCCAGATTTTAGAGAACAGTGAAAACTAGTTTGCTGCTGAAAACTAGTATGCTGGTTGGGATGCTACCAGGATACAAATGTAAGCGGAACGATGATTTTTGACTTGCATTCAAAGCGTTTGGTTTGATTTTTTATCAACAACGCAGTGGGAGTATGGAGACGATCCACGAGATACCCCATTTTCTCCAAAATATGTCACTCCTGTTTCATTCTCTAGTTGAAGTCATTTGATTAATGTGGTAGATGTAACTGTCTGGGTGTTCGAGGTCACCACCCAGAATAGCGGAATGGATCATAGACGTAATAATCTGAACGCGCCACGTTAAGCTCCAATCTCGTTACTTCGAGAGATATGAACATCTTTGGAATGCATTCCAACTTAACTGCTTTTGCCTGCATGTTTTTTCATTAGTTGCTTACTCATTTCTGCACGCTGTACAAACCTTTCAGAATCACATTTCATTGCATCCATCTCTGCAATTTTACTATGCTTGTTCTTATTTGACTTCAGATTTCTGTGTTCATCTACTACGGCTGGCGGCACAGCGTTGATTCCGATCCATACAATGATGTAACAGCCACTTCCGGTGTGCCCATCGACAGTGTTTTCATTTACGACCCACGAAGACGCATACAGGCGTGGCGTTTTCTAACTTACGCGGTCATACATAATGGCTATATACACCTCATCTTCAATTGTTTACTCCAACTGGTCCTCGGCATGCTACTGGAGTTGGTGCACAAGTTGTGGCGTTGCGGTCTCGTTTATCTTTTCGGAGTGATTGCGGGTGAGTCCTGTTTCCACAAACTAGTATGCTGCCTCTTTGATATGGTTATTTCACCTTGGTACCTCCTCGTCTTCCACTTCTGCCTACTGATCTGTTTGCCTCACTTCTCTGAAATATCGACGACCCACACCGTTTTCTATCCTCATCTCTCAATGGATATTTGTGTACATTGAACCCGTTTCTTCTGACGATCTTGGATTCACAAACCTACTTTTTCCGTGTCTCTACTCCGGTTCGGATAATGCATTCACGCTGATAAATATCAGCGTCAGTTATAATGATTTTCTGGCGCGTTTATGACACTTTTCCAATCAGTCGTGCGTTCCTGACGTACCATATAGTGCATCGGACCCGATGAATTGACATTAGCCACACCAACACTTGGACGCTTCAGACTTCTTAAATGTGCCACTCAATCGACTGTTCGGTGCGTAGGCGTGTATGTAAGTCACATTGGCAGGATTCGAGTCATCAGCAGTTGTGGATACGGCCACATTCCGTTTATGGATTGTCATCGCTTGTTCGTGGGCTTAACCGCCTACGCCTACATTGGAACACGCGCTGTGCTATCGTGCAAAAACTCGCTAATTGCGGTACTTAGTTCTCAACTGTTCTTAAAGTAGTGCGCCTTCGCATTCGTTCTAGTTCACCGTCCCTTCGGTGTCACCTTGTAAACGATGCTCACAATTGCATATGGATTTCGATTAGTTGACTCTGAGGTACCTGACTATTTCACACACATCTGTCTTGGGTTTTTCTTGTGTTTGTTGCAAATTGCTTATTTTCACTCACCTTCCTGGTGAAGATCGCGATGTCTAATTTCCAACAAACTTCTTAACTCGAGTTGTTTCCCTTTTGACTTCATTAACCTATACCGGCGATCAGAAACATTTAGCTATTCCATCCCTCCCCCACACCTGGCGACAATCAGCTTCACCATCTTACAGCGTAGGCATTTTCACATTCTCAATATACCTATGGTCAGTCTCTCACAGACATCTGCCTACAGAATCCATTCGAAATTGATTTCCTTGATCGATTTAAAGCAGCATCACCTGAAGCCGTTCGGTTGCGCTGATCGTTGCTCTTTACCTTTTCTATCCTTCGAACTGTTCACCTAAGTGTGGACCTTGGAAAGTGCATTTCGGTGCGTATAACCAACTGGTGGCATCAAACTGTCATCCGTGGCGGTTGTGTATGAAAATACATAGGAGATGCATTGTTTGAAGAGTACATTAGAAACAATGTGGTATTGACCGTTAGAGTAGTCAAACGGTATGTCCGATCTTACGGCACCTTTGGCAAGTAGACTGTGTTTGCAATCAATTACAGTTTCATGCTTTTCGCCGCATTGGTGGCACATGGAGGAGCGACGAGACTGGACCTTGATATAGTGCGATCGTTTGTGTGCCTCAGTGATCCATTGAGCTATACCTGGTGATGCTTTTTGTACTTTCAGAGCCACCCATAGTTCAGTTCAGTTCAATTGATCAACCATAATCCGAGCACCGAAGTGCGGTGCATCCATTTGCCACGGCTCACGTCGAAAGTATAACAATAAATAATAACGGCAAGATATTGGGGCTAAAGGCAAATAGAATAGAAAATGGAAGAAAGAGGTAAGTGCGTTAAATCGATATAACGAAAATTAAAAACCAGATACAAGAAACCGAATGCAGTAGCGCCACTGATTTCGTGACTGCGCCATATCTGACACGGTCTCCAACCATTAGTGTGGACAACCGCGAGGCCCCCCATCCACGTAAACGGTACGCACCAGCCTGATCAAGTCTCTTAGTCATTTTCTTCATGCCACTGCCCCGTCATGGATTGGCCACCTCGCGGTTTCACCCAACTTGGCGCGGCCACGGCATATAATGCACGCCAAGGAAGACGGTCAACGGGCATACAGAGGACATGGCTTAGCCAACGTAAGCTACTAAGATTTCGCAAACACTCGAGTGAGCTACCAGAAGGCTTCTTAACAAAAATCAACTGGCGGACCTCAGCATTGCTAACTCGGTGTTCCCGTAAAGATACATGCAATACTCCGCAAGCACCGGTGGTCAAACACGGCCAAGCTTTAATGTCTTCGCCAGGTCTCCCATCCATACAGCTAGACCGGCCTTACGGCGGCGTTATATACGCTACCTTTCGCTGACAAGCTGATATCCCGCCGTCTCCGTAGATGATTGAGTCTCTGTAAGGCCACCGGGCCTTGCTGATACGCGAAGTAACTACTTCAGTGATTTGACCGCCAGAGGTGACACAGCTACCAAGATAAGTGAACCGATCACTTCCAGTGGCTGTTCGCTGATCGCTAGAACTGGAGATGTGTCGATCCAGTCCTGAAGCAGTACTTTGCGCTTTGAAAGTGCAAACCACATGCAGAATTGTGCAGCGCTATGTGCCATTCTGTCCAGTAGCAGACCGAATTTTATTGGAACTGTATACGACGAGTGAGCAGCCTAATCACAGTCTATGAAAGCGCTTGAAGTGTTGCACTGAGCGCTTTGAAAAGAAGTTTAATGCGTCAGACTTATCAACTTCTTTATCGGTCATTGATCGCTTTAGTCCCTAGGCCATCCGTTTGGATCCACCTTCTCGTGCAGAGACCGAACTTAAGATCAGACTGCTGAAAGTGGCAAGGCCGCGTGATCAGATGAGCTTCGCCCAGCCCTCTTGAAATTCGAGGGACTTGTTCTTGAGAATGATTTGCACGATCCATTATTGAAGCTATGGGGATGGAGAAGCTACGTTTTTGTCCCCATCTTCAAGGAGAGTTGATGTTGTGAATGCGGCATAAATAGAGTGGTCAGTCTGATTTCCGTTGTCTGCATCACTCCTCACAGGATGGTACCCACAAATGGCAATCAAGGGTTCGTTGAAATTGATGTTGCATTGTTCATATCTGCACTTTCGGTCAGTTCTTGGTACACTACCATCTATGCTGACGACCCATCGTCATCATATTTCTCGACGTTAAATGTGCGGATCGACATGCTCCTTAGGATTGTTCCACTGAGAAAAGTGTGCATGTGGAATACTTAGATATTATCAGTGCGCTTTACGCGCATAGTTCGAACTGAGTTAGGGCTTGTAGCAAGCTGTAGCCGCCCTTCAATATCTTCGTCAACATGAGACAGAGATACAAGGCTATGGAGTGTGCGATCACTGGATATAACATAGAAGGGGCGCAACTGCTCCCAGATGATCTGCCTCGCGCCTTGGAATATGCAGATGGCGCTGCCGTGATCTGTGACAGCTCACAAACGTTCCAAGCAACACTGGACAGATTAATATTGGCTGGTAGTTGTTTGAGCTGCGCTTTGCAATTCAAAGCTTTCTTCCAGGTTTGGTAGAGACAACTTCGTACTCTGACCTTTTGCATGAATAGCTAGGATTCGTTCAGAAATGTAACTCACTGAGCAGCTGTATCAATGCCCGTTTGATTGAAGATGAGATCACTAACCGTATATGTAAAGCTCGAGGTGCTTTTGATCGACTTTGCCACTTGTGGCGCCTGCACAAGCTGAAGGGCCGGGCCTACAATGCAGTTATCTATTGAACACTCCTGTATGCGTCAGATCGCGATTTATATAGAGACTGTTTACGCTCAACGACCGGTTCCTTCACAGGCAGGCTCAAATTTGATGGAAACACAGCTGGAGCAATGCACTTGATCGTCGTCTTGTTTATGGCGCAAGCGGGGGAAGTAAATCGCCTAGCACAATTGCTTTTAAGCACCACACTCCGTTTGCTGGATTATGTGTCGCGCATGCCAACACACCGACTCCCGTAAAGTGCGTTGTTAATGCGATGATGGTCTGTATTGGTGTGGAGGAGAGACCATCCGATGAATTGCTCCTGTGTCTCATTTCCTCTTCAATTTTGTTATCGAAATGATCATGAATGACTCCGTTCATTCAGGCTGTACTGGAGTGGAAGTTCTACCAGGTGACCGACTGACAAACCTGGAGTATGCGGACGACAGCTCTTCTTCTGTTCGACGCGGTGGCCATGCAAACACTGTTGGATAGACTGACGCGTTGTGCCACACGCTTCGGCATGTGCTTTGCACCTTCAAACTGCAAAATACTGCTTCAGGACTGGACCGACGCACCTCCAGTTCTAGCCATCAGCGAACAACCACTGGAACTGGTGGATCGGTTCACTTACCTTAGTAGTTGTGTCACTTCTGGTGGTCACATCACCGAGGAGGTTACTTCGCGTATCAGCAAGGTCCGTGTAACTGTCCAGAGACTCAATCATCTATGGAGACGGCGTGCTATCTGACTTTCAATGGAAGGTGATCTTACATTTTTGTATCGGTTCCTCAGGGATCCTGTCCACCCACGCCTACCCCTATTTTAAGTCGGCCGCAACACATCACTGTGAGGCCGCAATTTAAATTTGGTCACACAATACAGTCGATTGGAATGCCGGTGGAACATTTTCTCTTAGCCGTGGAACTTTCTTCCGCGTTCTGTCATCTCCACTCCTGTATTACTGAATTCAAATCTTGACTTAATGATGCACTGCACCATCCGCATCAGACGATGTAACTCGAGTTTGTAGTACAGGGGACAATGTAACACAATTATTTGTACACGCAAAATTTGTGGTAAGTCTACCGCTACGTGTTTTCTCTCAGTACATCTATTTTTGATGTCATTGTCTACCCACGGAAAACTTGTTTACTTTTTTATCCATAGTAAATCCATCGTTCCATTGTTGTTCCATTGTTCATTGTGCTTAATTGTGCATGATCCGAACAACGAAGTACGACCTACATTAGCCGCTAATTGCGTGTCTATGGTTTGAAGGTAAAGAAAACAGTGTTTAACCACGAGGAAGACAGCACAAAACATCCTTCGTTGTGTTGTCACTTGTTTTACGTGACTGAGCAGTTGGTGGACCTTTGGTTTGAGTTTTAGTGTTTTGCAGACCTTTTGGGTCCACGGCAACACCGTATTCTTTCCGCAACTACGTTTCGTCCACTGCAAAATAGAAACAAACGTTCAGTTGTTGTGGAGTTCTCCGAGCTGGGCAACTTGGTTGCAAACGTTTCGCCACCATTCGAGGTGGCATCTTCAGTGCGGGATTGATAGCAGTAAAGTAGCAGTAGCTAGTAGAAAGCAAACCCATTATTGGGTTTGCTTTCTACCAGAAACAAACGTATTTGCATTCGCCGGAAGGACATCCGTTAATTAGAATGCAACTAAACTGTTAGAACAGCTGTTTTCTGGAGCTTACTATCTTATATATGTTACCTTGTTGTGCCACTTGATTACCGAGTTTCGACTCTCAAATTCGTGATCTTACCGTGGTCATTTGGGTCTAAGAGTTTTGGCGTAGTTGATCGCCGTATACACAAGCTGCGCTCTACTCACGCCTTCAGTCATCCCTCCATTGCCTGCATTGCTGTATGAGTCTGCTTTTTTCTATTACAGGCTCTTTGGCCCATTCGGTCACCGATCCATTCGTGCTTTTGGCGGGCGCGAGTGGTGGATGCTACGCTTTGATTGGAGCGCATTTGGCCAGTGTTGTCACGGTTCGTTTTCAGCGATCGCTTTCGCCTTCATTAATTCTAATCATTTTCTGCTTTCATGGTTATTGTCATGGGTTAATGATCGCAAATTCGACAAGGAGAGTCGCGTAGTCTGTGCTTGTTCCTGCTATTGCTCACAAGTCTTTTACATGCTATAGGAAGAAATTCATCACATCTAGGCTCACTCAGACAGCCGTCACACGCCCGGAAAAGCACTGTACGCGCGTTCCATCCTTTCGGGAATCGTCAGCAGTGCGCATTCCATCGCGCCCTGGTTGGGCTCGAACCCGCACCTCGACTGTTGCCAGTCCGTAGTTGAGACCACTGAGCTACGGGGGACGGCAACGACCATGGTGAATAAGTTACTAGATGTGATATAGCGCCGCTCACTATCCACTGACTTACACGTTACTGCCGTACAGTGACTGTTCTTCATATCTAACAGCGAGATAATGCAATTCGTCCTTCCTCTGGTTCGATTGAGGTGGTTAACGTTTACTTTCCCCCGTCATCCTAATCACCTGCAGTACATCGAATCTCAGATGAATGCGCATTTTTCGTTAATCACGCCCTCACCATTTACGTTCCAACCGCTGCATTTCTTATAACTGTGATGCAGTTTTTTGCATTAATATCAACCTTAATACAGTGGGATTAACTCGAATCTTGAGGTTTTAGAAGTTAATGCTCAACACATGGCAGGTCTACGGCGCAAACTCCACTACAACTACAGGGAACACATCGTGGTAACAAATAGTCAGTCTCGTTTCAGCCACTACTATTCAACCGTACCTGACAGATGATTACAGAGCATGCACACAGCAAACAAGCAGTTCGGTGAGAAGACGACAGCATACAAGCGGCTAGTACCTGTGTGTCTCTGGCGAGGCATATGGTGATTAACATGAACCCCTAACTAAGGAAAACGGGTGGGTGGATAACGACTGATTTAGCTTTCCACGTCTCCACCGGGCAACATCCAGTAAACAAAACGAAAACCTCAGGTTGCGGTGACCAGACGTACATTGCACTCACTTGAACCAACACCAGAGTGAAAAATCTCTCATACACGTGCTTTTCGCCACACTATGAATCCGATTATCATTCGGCAATCGAGTAACAACTTTCGGGGACAACTAGCTAAACAATTAAGGGGCAAATGAGTTATACTAAATCGAAATCAGACATATCTTTGCATGGTCTAGCCAGGGAATCGGTTTTACGGCTAATACTGCACGGTTGTTTTTTTAAGATACCCGGGGGCTAACAGCTGCAGTTTCCAAGTCTGTTAGTTTATGCGACGCTGACACCCAGAGGATTCGTAGAGCTCCACTTTCCTTCGTACTCTGCAAACAGGTTCCCATTTATTCAAAGCACAGCCTACTGAAGGTACACGGAAATTGATGAGCTACTCAGTCAACTTCTGCGTCGGCAAATGATATATCCAATTCAGTGAACAGCATGGTACCACTGCCACAAAATCTTCCCGGTAGGTTGCAGACTCAAAAGACAGATTGAGAAAACGACGTGAGCATAATTCAAAGTCTCAGGGGGCTTGCAACTCCTTTCATACTGAATACCAACTCAGATGTTACTCATCCGTGCACTAGTGTCAGAACGACCTTTGCCAAGCAGTTCCACTGGTTGGTTTGAGCACACGTTTATCTGAACTTCTCCTGTATATATATCATTGTGCCCGATGCATGTATTCTCTACGGTATGTTTTACTTCTCAAGCCTTTGAAGTACAGTAAGATTGTCCGGACATTTAAATTGTTTTAACGCAGCAGTCGAGTAGACTTGCAAAGACAGAACTACTCTGGTCAGAATCAATCCATACAGCTTTTCGCCAGTTATGATTATTCACTGTTAATGCAGCTTGCGATTGGCTCTCCGTCTCATTTGTCACGGCCTCGCGACCCGAATTACATTGAGTGGATGCTGCTCTATTTCCGTTGATAACACGTTGGTTCTTGACGAGGAGAATTTAGAGGCAGTTGACGAATTAGCTTACTTTGGCAACTGCATTTGCAGCATTGAGCAAGTGAACACCGGACTTATTTCAGGCATTGTGACAGGTAAAAATGCACTGTTTAACTTGCAATGTCTTTGGTGCCAGAAGTAGATTTCCATCCGTCTGAAAAGCCGTGTATATTAGTTCACGGTGAAGGCCGTTCTTCTCCATGGGAGTGGAACCTAGTTTCTTCGTTTTGGGGATCTGGGCCGTTTTATCGTTACCTGTGAATCATTGCTGATATTGTGTGGCACTAGCGTATCCGCGACGATGATGTACCCCATGAAACGAACCAGACAGCCCAGCGGATATTTTTGGGCAGCATACGTAATTGTCCACCTACATGGGTGCCATAGTTGGCCAATGTTGGTGTCCTATGCGTTTTATTCCTCATAATTTTAGTAGGCCCGAAGGAGCAACCTCATCGTCTAAAGCGAGGCGTCCTGCGGATAATTGTGCTACAATTCTTGCTGAGCAATCCCCTTGCGGAACCAGCTTGACGGACAGTTATGACTGCAAGCTGGACAACTGTTTGAGACTATATGTTGTCGTCAGGGGATGGAGGCACGTTGACTCTGAAAATTTGCTTAAGAAAATCAGGTCTTACACCTGACCTCTTGTATTTCTCGTTTGTTAGGTCATTCTTATCTCACGGTAGCGAGACACCAGTTCAACCCACTGATACATTACTGTTGATGATGATGGCATATATCTGCGCACTCCTCAGATGGTTACACGTTGTGAATACCACTTTATGTTGATCATTTCACCTGTCTAACTATATGTGGTCATGGTCGCTTGCTTGCATCACTTGCCGACGTGCTGGTAGTCAATGATATTCCTTACTGGTCTTTTATCTACATACAGTCCAACCTGCTATGCTGACCACCTGTCTATGGCGACCAACCAAAAACATCCCCAACGTTTTCTCCTATAAGCAATGTCCCTATGCATGAACCTGTCTGTGGCGACCACCTGTCTAAAACGATCACTTTTTCTCGGTCCCATTAAGTGGCCTCCTAAGCAGGTTTCACTGTATTTCTAAAATTCGAGCAGCGACTAAATTGAGGTGTCAGTTTTCAATGTTTGACCTAACTGGAGATGTCATGACGGTAACAATTTGTGCATAACTCATCCATACAACCGGTTATTGTTACTACTTGATTCCGTTATTTTTTTGCCCTTATGACACGCATCACCTGGTCATTAGATTTGCTTTTGTGCTGTATTCATTTTATACAGTTACACTGAACCTTCGCTACCCTATCTGTGATACACTGCTCTGCTTTCTTTTGTTGCACCTATTTGAATAGGTGCGTGAAGTCACTGTTGTGTAGTCCTCTTATGAAGGGACATGTGCTTAACTTCGATGGTACTGCTGAACTCGTCACAAAACATCTTTTCAAGTGCTATATCATGCCTCGTTAGTAATCCGAATCGATGTTGATTCCACCTGCGAAATTTGATTGACTGGTCACCATCGGACTTCTGCTACCTGCGGGTACAATCATATCACGGATTGTTTTTTTCCGCCCAATCATATTGATTAACTGCTCACACTATCAGGTTACCACACTTTTTGTCCGGGAGCAAGCAATATCTCCCCATATAATCGATTATTCCGACGAGTAAACGAATTAACTGGTATTCAGAAGAGCAATGTCGCTTGTTTTAAACGATTGTTCTGTTCCGAGACACACTCGTTTATCTCTGCATTGGCTGAAGCGATTCAACGTAACTAACGTACCCGACCCAAGAAACAGCGTCCTTGTATCGAGCTGTTAATGTACTATACTTTCAGACTACTTATACAATTCTAGTAGGTGGCCTTTCTTCACGCCTTTGCGTCGAATCTGTTGGGCTGTGATTATACTGTGCAGCAACATTTTTGTCCTGGATTCTGGATGTTATATTTCAATTACTCATGTTTAAACATAACCTGAAACACCTATATTCATCATGGACTGTCTTTTTGACCACAGCTTACAAAAGTTTAGCATTTAATAAGTCAATGCAAACAAATTTTTACGTTGGTTTTCGTTCCAGTTGCCACGGGCATATACTTGCATAGATATACGTAGAGGTAGAAATAACGGAAACGTATTCAGAAATGAGTAGATTTTCTAGATTTTAGGCTATAGTTTAAATCGCTTTCTCGAGGAAGGCGTCAAACATAGTCCTCCTTCACCTGTTCGTTACACTGCCCTTGGTAAGGAAGATCAGAATCCACTAAATCCTGATGAGTGCGCTCGCCTTGCTCCTGTGGGTATGCCCCCATGGTCTCCTTTAAATTGTCGAGATGAGTGTTAGAAATTTTTTATGGGACATTCTGCATGCCACCTTGGCGTAGTTTTCTATGAGAGGCTTAATTAGCCGCTCCTTTTTCAGCCTTGTGATTGCCCATGATGCCATGAACCACTGCAACCGTCCAAAACGATTTTCTCTCTCCTATGCAGTTTCTTTTCGCATTCAGCACATTTTCTTACCATTATCTGCCGTTTAACAAAGATACCAGCTTTAATATAATCGCGATGTTTGCATGTGTATTTGAATTCTCGTATACGTTTTCTCATCATACCCGTTGGCTTCTAAATTCTTTTTTGGGACTTGTTTAAGGTACGCCCTCGTTTTTAAATTTGCCACGCTAATTCGTATTCTCTTTTTGGTTTGTCTATCTTCTGGTTCCTGTCCTCACTCACTCCGGCCCTCTGAGTATCCTTTTATACCCGATTCTCTCCACTCCACTATCATTTTTTCTAAACCGCTGAACTCCGCATTTTGTACACCACTGATTTGACACTTTATTTCCGCTGAATCCCGCCTGTATTCCATACAGCTGCTCAAATATACTCTTTAGGTTGCATAATAAATTGGTTGGTAACTCCCGACTCAGTCGACTGAGGCATCCTTCCAAATTGAGTGAATGTTGCAAGTTTCGAAAGTTCGGGCGGTATTTTCATACGATTGAAGTTTGGTTTTCTTCACTCGATTGCCCTTGTCTGTTTGGCCTTCGATCTCTATTCTCAGCTGTTCTCGACGAGCATCCTTCCGTCCAATTCTATGGATATTGCGTACTGATTTACTCTCAGTGTTCAATCCACAACAGCGCTGTTTGTGGTCAGACACCAGTAACTGTTTATGCGCGTTTCAATGGGATGGCAGCTGACCCTAGTTCGCATTTGTGTTTTCTGCCATTCTTTGCGCTTTTCAATGGGGTTTTCGCTTAACCCTCTCCTAGTCTCTCTACCTTAGCTATAGCTTGGGATCTCAGTGATTCCACGGAACGCCTTCAACCCTATTCGAGTACAATTTGCCACATCACCATCCTAACAGATGCCCGTTCACCCCATTTACCGCGTTTACCCACAGCCTGATTCAACTTGACTCATCTTGGCGGGTGCCACTTCACATCCCTAGTCCGCTCGCCTGACGACGCATTGTTCGGAAGTGACAACTGGCACTTACGCGATATCGTTCATCGCGTTGACTTACTGTCTGTCCCCGAATTCATAGCTGATTACGGACCAGTGTTTATGCCTCAGAGTGGTTTGCGCCTGTAACACAGTGTTACTGTCGCGTCACTCGTCTCGTATCCTCTGTTCGGCTTCGCTTCCTGGCTCTGTTACCATGGACCAGCGTCTACACAGGGAGATTTCAATCTACTTCTCTCCTCTAGTTTGTCTATTGTGTTTTACGGCATGTACCGTGTTACCATGTTCATCTTGCCTAGTGTCTTTTTCCTTCTTCAAACTAATTTCAGAATTGGAGCGCCATGCAATATAAATGGCTAGATGGTCCAGTGAATTTTCTGTCCAGCGGAGTGGTCCGTCTCATTCTGATCCTTCTGCTGGGTATGTCACTCCAGTTTGTTATGCATTGTCACCACGCTTTGATTGTATTGACCTCCACTCGTTATCTTCACTGCTAATCCCATATTTTGTCTTGTCACTGCACATGCGAACTTGTCCGTAGCGGACTCAATGCGTAGCAGTTCCGATCACGATGGTAGTCGCAAATCTTAAGTGCGTCCAGCTCTTTCGACATTTCAATGCTGTACAAACGGAGTGTTTTGCTACTTCGTGATTTCCATCGTTGCAAGTCTCATGATGTCTGAGTGAACGTTTGGTCCATTGAAGCCGTGTATTTTTGATTCTGACTAGTTTTGTGGTGGTCCGCTTCATTTCCACTTTCCTTTTTCTTCACGCATCACGTATCTTCATTGATTGTGTCAGATGCAAGTAGTAACCACGTGGATGCTTCTCACCTAGGCTAAATTTGAACCCAGACACTTTGATACCTTGATCACATATATGCGTTGATGTACTGCTCGCGTCCATTGTCACTTTCAGCCACGCTATTCGATTACATTAAGAAAGTAAACACTTTGTAAGTAGTAGGGGAATTTGTTAGGTTTTCGTGTACGTTCGTCGCAGTTAGACACAGGCAGACAGCTATCACACATACAGGAAAGCGCTAGATGGCCGTTTCGTCCTATTGGGACTCATCAGTAGCGCGCACCCGCCGAATGCTGCCGGATTCGAATCCACGACCTTACTCTTGCGAGTCAGCGACTTATATCACTGAGTCATGGGCCACCGCAGTGAACCACCATGACTGGTATCTAACTGCAATATGGCGCGGCTTATCCTCCACTGTCTTGCATGCTGTGAATTTGCAGAGGGCAGGGCTGGCTCCCAGAGCAACGACTTCCTTTTCAAGCCGCCACCAATCCAGGTGACATGTAAGCTGCTTAGACGACTACTGATTATTTGTAAGTAGCAGGGGGATTTATTAGGTTTTTGTGTAGGTTCGTCGCAGTTAGACACAGGCAGACAGCCACCACACATCCAGGAAACCGCAAGACGACCGTTTCGTCCTATTGCGACTCGTCAGTAGCGCAAGATTAAGGTCGTGGGTTCGAATCCGGTAGTATTCGGCGGCTGCGCGTTACTGACGAGTCCCAGTAGGACGAAACGGCCATCTAGCGCTTTCCTTTATGTGTGGTGACTGTCTGTCTGTGACGAAGCTACACGAAAAGTAAATGCTATCTGGGAGACCCTTTTTACATATTGAGGGATTCATTGGTGGACATAATGGAAATAATTTGATGACTTCCATTGAGTGTCGATGATCACCACACGGCTCTTGTACCTATTTGCGACTTAGTGGAATCGGGGTTTCTGATCGATTTTAGCATTATCCTGCAACAGAATGCACAACGATTTCATAAATACAACTATGCTTTCCACTTAGTGTTCGTTTCGAACACGCTTGTCTATCTAGACCATAAACTTGTGAATCTAGCTTCAACTAAATGCATCGGAGCACGAAATTGTTTACAAACGAGACCATTCAGATTTATGATCATGTTTGCAACGGTGTGCCCCGAACTTTTTGAGAATAAACTCTATTATTGTTACTATTATTATTAGAATTTCTAACGAATGACCTTATAGAAAACCGAAACTACAGACACTTCTCATGTCCCAATGGAAGGCTCAAGCATAGGCACACGTGAGGATATTTGAAAGTGCGATACTGCAGCTTAGCCTGACGTCCACAATCACAGCTTTGATTGGCATATTTTACGCCTAATATCCACTGAAACGGTTGACCGCCGTCATGTAAGATCATCTCTTTGTTTTGAGCGTCTGTAGGGTTGTCTATTCCCGGTCATTCCAAGTCCATCATCAACACCTACAGCTTTCAACAGTTTGATACTAGGATTTTAGGTGTTTCGTACTGTCTCTTGGTTTGTTGGTTGACGCGCTCTGCCAAACACATCGTGTTGTGTTTGATTCACTTCATCTGTCCAGTGAATTTGACGGTCTATTCTACTGTGTTCAAGTCATTGACAGTGGCACCGATTGTTTTTTCCTACCGATTTCTAACTTCCCGAATGATCCATGTTGCGTAACTATTATTTAAAGGATGTATGTTTCATCGGTAGTTTAGCTGTGCTCGAATTATCATCCATACAGCCTACCCTTGTTGCTCACATTAACACCCCACCCCAAGTCATCTTGCCACCAGGTCATTTTATAATGCATAACCTATGAGTCCAACTTATCGGGGCCAGTTCTGCATTTATTAGAACCAATGAAACTAGGAAATCGGTTCGATTAATCTCGAATTCAACCCTAACATTTGTAGGAATTCGTCTTTTGCTTTTTGCGAACTTGCCTTCTGCATAAATGGGAATATTTTTATGTCACTGGGCAATAGTTTTTTCTTGTTCCACTAATGTCCCTCCATTTTTTTTCTTTGTGCCATCTAGGTGGTGGCGACACCGGATTGGCAATTTACGCACGTTTTAAAAATCCAGAAGCCAGTCGGATTGGATTTTCTGCTCACTTCGGCGGCTTTCTTGCAGGTGTGTGTGTGTGTGTGTGTGGATGTTCATGCTTTGTCACCATCTCGCTGTCTGTTCGCAAGGCTTCGTGCACTACTTCCCCATCCTAACTGGTTTTGCATGTAACCCACCACCATATTTGGTGCGTACTGAGTAGTCACCTTGACCTTCTGTCGATTATTCTCCCCGCTCGTCTATCTGCATCAACTACATCTGTGACGTGTGTGACACTGGTGGTGAACTTCCGATGAATCCACTCGCATGCTTGCTCTGTTCGTCACACCAACCATGTATGTAAGTACGCTACAGCCTACACTGTCGGGGAAGTTTTGTACCATTTCTCAGTCAAATGCATCCACATCAATATCGAATTCCTCCTTAAGGAAATCCCGTTCTGCCATGGATCTCTTAAATCAGATCTTAACTATCAAATTGCATTCAATGGACGCCGCTAAATGCGATTGTTCATTGAGGGACCAATCCCAACCCACCCATAGCACCCTACTTTATATACTGATCTGTTATACTATCGGCTGATTTGGGATTGGTCACTCAACGAATACTACACCATTTTAAGGAGCCTTTGTTACCGCTGAATGCAATTTGCTGGCGTTAAGAACTGTCTTTATAGATCTGTAGAGGAACATGCTTTCCTTGTGGAGAAATTTGGAAGTGCTATGGCTGCAATTGACTGAAAGGTGGTGTAGATGAATCCTTAAAACCTACAGTGTACAGGTTTCTCAGTGGATAGAAACTAGTTTCACCATGCACATTCATATGCAGGTTCGGTGAACTGCAGGCTGTTTGCGTTGAGCCTGATAAACGGGTAACATGGTTGCTCTGCGCTTGGATATTGCCGTGAGGTTTACTGAGTATTTTTTAGACAGGGTACCGCACGCGTCTAGCTTCCAATACCGCTTCTGTAGACTGCACGCTAAGCGAATACATCGTGCCATCGAAAAATTACATCAAGTTCCAAAATCCTAGCAGTGAACCTCTACCGGATCATGTGGAGCGCTACGAACTCTCGCATCCAAGTGGCGTTGGAGTAGGAATGATTTTCTCCAATTCAAGATAGGATCACCGATCCCGAAGTTTGTAAAGAAGAATGCGATGGTTTAGACGATCAGAAGGTAGGCGGCGTCAACTCCTTCCGCAGTATTGATGGGTTCCGTCCAGCTCGCACGGGCTAACTAAAGGTTTGTCGTACATGAGCTGTTGTTGCGGAATCCACGCTGCTCCTTCACGATGATATTGCACCTTACTAAATATCCCATAAGTTCTGCGACGGCAGATTCCATAACGTTTGCCAACACAAGAAAAAGAGTAATGGGGCGCTAGTTTGCAGTCACTGCACAATTACCTTCCTTGTGAATGGGGTGACTATTCTACGTTTCCACCTAGTTGGAACCTGAGTCTTGTCGAGACAGCTCTGAAAAAAACTGGGATGACGATCCAGCTAGGCTCGTGGCAGCTACCTTCAGTGACTTGTGTCGTGGGTCATCAGGATCAGGGGACTGTACTCGCGTAGTGACATCACTCGCTTCAGCACATCCACGGCAATGAAAGAGATGTGGCTAAACCCTGGTGGCGACGTGATTTGTATTAGAATGATTTGAAATAGCGGTGGGTTCTGAAAAGTACCAGCGAATTGTTTAAGGACATTAGATGCTTCTTAGGCAGCTCGCGGTTACCTACATAGGATGTTTAGAGGCTGGATGCCGCGCTATACCTTGCGAAGTTTATTCGCCTATCTGTAAAGCAGGTTAGGATTGCAGCAGAACATTTTCGCCGAATCCTGTTGATATTTCCATTTGTCTCCGCGGACAGGTTTGCCATTATTGTTTCGCTCAGTTATGTTGACATTGCAGTTTCAGGCGTCCGGATCAGATCTGTATAATTTCCAAAGGAAATCTCTCTGAGTCATTCGCTTTCACGTGCCACTCCTCTGGAAGTGCTTAACGTTTTTGTACTAAGGATATTAGTCTCTGATACGTTTGATACTAGAGTGCTAAATTGATTGACGAAATTCTCCCCAAACGACATCTGGGGGTTGTTCCGCCGGAACCGACCAATCAGTGATCTTGATGAGGTAGGATAAATGTCATAATGTGTTACCATACGGACCTGTTCGATGTCCCCGTTGCACTGCTCTGCGTAACAGACGTAGCGGAAAAGCAGTGTTGCGTGATCACCGCGCCCCAAGGGGCTGCTCACTGTTAGTGTATCGATCTTAAGTTCTTTGATGGTAAATACGATGTATACAATGGTTTGTTTGTTCCGCGTTCTGAATCTCGTAGGGGAAGTAACGTGATTGGGAAATGATAGGCCGGCGACTACTGCTCGCAGTTCGGTCCTAAACTGTTCATCATTTAGCGCGTGAAATTTGTAGTCTAACGCGAGGAGAATGTGAGCGTTAAGCTGAGCCTTAACGGTTTTCAGTACAGAAGCCATACGGTTATCCATTTTCCGAATGAACGTCAAAGTACGGTATAGGAGGGCAACTAAACATGTGTCGCGAAGTCCTGGTTGCAGACGGCACCAAGTTGAGTCCGGGTCGTCAAAGACCTGGAGAAGTAGGTCACTGCGATAGTAAAGGATTACGGTGCCTCCACTACTCTGTTGGAACTTATTTATGTGTATTCCTCGTTTTTTTCGCTCTTATTTCGAATGTTCGACAGAGCGATTTAACGTCGTAAGAGAGGAACCGGACTCACATTTACTACAGGGCTACTTCTATATCCAAAATTTGCACCCAGTGGCAAGGTGCATAAGATTAGCTTCTTCGTAATGGTTAGTCATGTGTGTTCTACGGAGAGGTATTTTGATAGAGGTTGTCACCCGCATTGTTTACCTGAGGAGATAAAAGAAATCATCCCAATGCACCGACCAGCTTATCCTAGAAAAATCCCAATCTCAACCAACATTCCTGGTCAAATGTAACTCCCTTATCATTACCGACATAAACTAGATCAACAGTCGATAACTTTGTGATCCCAATCGGGGAAATTATGCCTTGTGTTGGATACTGTGTCATGAGAGCCTCTTGTGTATACTACAGCAAGACTATTATGTGGTCTGCTGCGCCAAGCTGCGTGCTGTGTCCACCTGTTTACGTCAGTCGACGCTTGAAGATGCAATTTTTTGCTATGATACCTTAAATTCAGGATATTTCCAACACTGTTTTCTTCTGCAATTATTCCTTGTTGAGTTTGGACGTGGTGAAATGCTTCATTGTTATCAAGTATGCACAATGAGCACTGATTTTTCACGAATAAAGTGCTTGTTTAATAAGTTTCATGGGATAGTTGAGGTGAAAACTGAAATCAAGTGACGTGTCTCATCAGCCTAACCTCCGACCGCTTTAATTGCGTTGTTTTTGACGATGGTGGGAAATGTTAATTACATTTGCGCTGCTGAACTGTGAGGAGCAGTCACAGTTAGCTTCATACCATACAATAAGTTAAATAAAAACAACTTCATTCACATACCGGTTTTTAGTGCCCATGTGCATCCTAACGATATTCCACATTAGCACAGTTTGGATGACCAAGTAGTGGGAGCTGAGAGCAATATGCAATGCTATTTTAAAGCAGTCCATAGTAGGGGAGGAAACAAGTGCATTTGGGAGAAAGCTTCGTGGTTGACAAACTTACTTTGAACGAAGCCGTTGCTCACTCAATTTCAGCTGATTACCTCTAAGCTTGATATTGTCGCTGTGCTTCCTTACATTACTTCGTACATAAATTGGAGACATTCATTATTGTTGGTTCACCGCGTAGCCGTCGGTAGCGCCCACTGAGAGACCCAGTACCTTCACCCGCTACTGGAAAGATAGGCTGCATAAACAACCTTCTTCGTTGCCCTACACCGTGGTGCTCCTAGCACCTCGAGGTCGTGCTTCAGTCACAGGTTGCCAAGTTTGAATAACATATTATTCCATGTGAATGTGCACGTATGAATTGTGCGTCGTAGGTAAGATTGGTGGGTCAGATCTCCCGAATCCCCTCCGCAGGAGGCCGACGGGCTAGTTATCTCCTTTTACACCCTACTAATACTGTTTTGATCAGTTTGGGCCATCCTGTATGAGCATCTTAATGTTTAATTGCTGTGAACTCGTTTGCAAGGTACATGCCCCAGACGTATAAATGTGGGCATGCCTATGGCGTATTCGAACAAGCAAACAGACAGTTAAGGTTCCAGCAGTGGGAGAGTCCACCATGCCAAATCCCTTCTGGACATACATTTACGTGTTCTGCTCCTTAGAAAGGACTTACTTTTCTCTTGATGATAGGGAGATTTCAGTTATGTTGGCTAGACCTCATCGCTAATGTATCCCAAGCGATTTTTAGGGATTATTCACTTAAGGTTCAAGTTGTCCGTTAACACGCGCGGAAGACACGTGGAGATATTTCTCATAGGATAAATGGTCAAATTGCAGAACCCCGTATACAGTGCGACTGTAACTGTCCCGTGGATCATGAGTTCTTCATTGATGGGAACAAAATACAGTATGGATAGCCTGCTGCCGTTCCTAAGGCGACGTGCTTGTACAAAGGGTAGCTCTTGCCCACCAGCTTTAAACTGCGTGCCAGATCGTGCAAATTAGATTATCCCCTAACGAGAGTGTGCCTATATGTTTGCTTCAATGTAGTCTTTAAAACCTACTTTAACTTGGAGTCCATTTCTTACTTAGAGTTGGGGGGGGGCGATGAATGACGGCTACTAGCATGTATCATTGTCCCGAAGCCATAGCCGACCAATTGAGGGTGCGGATTTCTGGGTGATCCATGAGCTCGCATCGGAGTTTACTTTTGTAACACAAAATTACCCTATTTCACTCTCCATTTCTGTTATTCTGAGACGACCACGTACCGTGTAAAGTACTTTCAAAGTCGGTTATCTCGAGACTTGAATACCTCACCATAATCATGCATCGGACTATCAGTAAACGTGGTCAGCAATTTAACTTAAAACCTTTGGTTCAGCAATCATTAAACTGCGTTCTCAAGTGGTGTTTTCTGCGAATGTAGCAAAGCGTGGCTTCCTCAGTCAAGTTAAGCATCCAACACCCTAGTTTGGCTAGATGGTTCTTCGGCTGAGATAAAACCGAAACCGGATACAATCCGCGTACTGCTTTATTCATTATACCTCGGTAGCCGGGTGGAATTGAAACTTTCGATGTTTCAGAAATGGCATGGGGTGCCTTCTGTTTGTTAACTGCAAACACCGTTCAACTCAATTTGCGCAAGTGCAGTTTGCGTACCGTATGCTTATGTGGACGTTGGCTAATGAATGGTACTGTACTGGGTCCAAGGAGCGCCTTGTAGCATACTCTTCTGGGCCTTGAGCAATAAATGTGAAAACTCACACAGCAGTCTTCTGAGTGGGGCTGATTACCCTAAAGCTGGGGTTTGAATTGAATTTCCAGAAAATAGATGAACGAAGGATAGAGTGGCAACTTGACAGGGTGTGTAGTCTGTAACTGGTGGTGTGGACACAGCACCCTGTTGACGGTTAGAGAAGAGCGTCCATTGACTGAGTTGAGTAATATTACGTTACATATGCACTTTACTAAGCATGTTCCCCTGCTGACTGGTATGCAGTCCAAATTGTGAGAAATGGATCTTGTGCTTTTCCATTCGAAGCTTGCGCGCTTACTGACGTAGGATCTGCCACACGTGCAGCGAGTTACTTTAAACGTGTGCTAGCACTCAGCTTGGGATTTGCTCGTTTAACTTTGACGCATCAATTGGGCGGTCGAGCTCATTAATCATGGGACTTTGATATTTATGCGATCTCAACAATTGTTTAACCAAAATACCGCTCTTCGAGCAGTACCAGCAGTTTTATTTCGTTCTCCATTCTTTTTGCGTTTAAAAACCAACTATAGTTGGAATGAAGGCTACCAACTGCGTCATTCTCTGCTCGATTAAGTCAGAACACAGTATATCATCATCTTGACGATTGAGATTTTGCTAATCATTTTTGCAACTCATTGATGTGCTTCATTTCTTTGATGCTACCGAGTTCTATTATTGCGTTTTCATTTGCTTATGGGTAAGAGATTTTTACTGTAATTTGTGGTATATTTATCTTAGACGCATAGTCTTCCGCGCATCCGGATAAGCACTGTACGGCCGTTTCGTCTTTACGGGACTCGTCATTGATGCACATAATCAACTTCATCACGAACCAAACTGATGATTTAGACACCACCAGTTTTGGTCATTATATTATGGGTGCGAATGGCCGATCGTCCTGACTTAGGAGGTGACTGCGATATACCGCAGTCCGTTTTGCTCTGTATGCTTAGTGCATCGGTGCAAAGGGCAAGGTTGGCTCCTTAAGCTACGGCTTCTCGCATATTAGCTATGTGCGACACGACATTTAGAAACAGTATTCGCAAATTTTTCACATACTTCTGGGTAGTAAATTATCCATGCAGTTTCCATCGAGCCGAATGATGCGCATTACCGACGAGCGCTATGTTTCAGCTCGACCTTCCTCAACAGGCTGTATTTCTTGTATCCAAGGGTCGTGTACTGCGAACCACCCAGAACGATCGGTGAACAGTATTTTTCATACTGTGTGATCTGTTTTTTTCTATTGCAGGCGTTCTGCTTGGCATCCCGATTCTTCGTAATCTCAAAGTCGAGAAGTGGGAAAAAGTTTGCTTCTGGATTTGCATTGTTTTCTGTTCCCTATTTTTGTTGTTCGCAATTATTTTCAACATCTTTTGTACGAAGAGAAACCTTTGCCCACCATCCCTTCAATGCCTTAACTGTTAGATGTTCTCACCGTCAACCTGAATCGGGTGTTGGCGTATGGGGTATTTCGCATTTCCGTGCGTTACAACACACATCACGCACAATTGGCTGTCCAGGGGCACTGGAGTACTTTGCTCTCGGATGAACGATTCGCCTATCGCCAATCTTCAGTAGATAGAGGATCATTCAAACAAATTGTCGCTGCTTGTACCGTTCCTTACTGCATGATCGCTCCATAAGTAGTATACAGAGTCTCAATCACAGCTGCGCCAACACCTGCATTATGTCTTGTGCTTATAGAATTTTTTCTTTTTATTTTCTATGGATGCTCTTTGTACCTACTCGATTTTTCCACGTGTGCCTAGAATGTTCCCACTTCGCCTTTAAATTTTGATTTATGTGTTCACATTTGACTTCGATGCTGAACCCCCCCGAGGGTTACTCGAATTCTATCCCCACCAAGTCTACGGACATCGTTTTACATCTCTTCCTGCATACCCAAAGAAATACAAAACGTTTTTCAGACCTCAGAATTTTTGTACATCGAAATTCTAGATAAAACTAGCAGCTGTTCCTAACTGAACTACATGTGAACACTTGGGTTTTACCTATTTTCCCCGCTTAACAAAGACATACAACACTGTTGTTTTATCCCAATGGGGTCCACTTCCGACGAGTGTGCGATTAGTGCACTTCCTTTTACGCTTGGACAGCCTTCGCGCTCAACGGTTTGTGTGAGCTGCTGCTTGTTTATTCGGCTGCCCGTTGGGATTTTTATAATCACTGGTGCGCTGGAAGAATTGGCTATTGACTCCACACTCCGGTAAGGATCACATCATCTACGAAGTTAAACAATTATCATCGCCCTGAATATTGCATATCAGTCTACTTCGACTAATGACGGGAGCACTATTTTTATATAATAATTTATTTTTTAGGTATTGTTGATCATACTGCGGGTTTACGTTTATTTGGTGTCTATCTGTGCGCATAGCGGACTTTGCCATATTTACCAAACGCACTATCGTTGGTGCACTATGAATTCCATTCCCTCGTGCATGTGAGTAGTTGCAACAAACTATATCGACGGACTCCTCCACCGCGTGCGTCACAATGAGATTCCTTAAAAGTCCTGATGTGGAGACTTGTATGATTATCGTTTTGCTCAGAAAGGTCGGTCCTTTGACAGGTTCAGCATTAGGTCTTGTTGTTCAGGGAGATCCGGATGAACATCGGTTCGCTCAGCGCACCAGACACCTGTGTTATCCAAGCGGTTGTAATTCGTGCTTTCGGTTGTTATGGGAACTCCACTCGGCTCTACGCTAGCAGATATCTTCATGACATTGGTCGAATGACGTTGTGAACAACCCCTTGACCAAATGCGCCTGTACAAGTGGTACATTAACGACACATTGGTGATCGCTCCAAACATCAATGCCGCCAAATCTCTTCTCGAGACGATGAACAATTTGCACCCAAATGCCCGGTTTACATGTCAACTGGAGACTAACAACTGTCTTGGCTTTTTGGCTGTGCTATTGACGAGAATGACTTACGGTTCGATAAGACGATTCGTCGACCGAAAAGCCACTTGGACAGTATCATACGAACATTTCAGTAGCTTCACACCTGTCCAGTATAAACGCTATCGTCAAAACCCTGTCCCACAGAGCTCATAGAATATGCAGCTCCGAATGTTTGGAATCTGAATTGCAATTTAGTACGGACGCTGCGAGCAAATGGCTACCCTGCAGCCTTTATCTCGTTCCACGGCCGCCCGATGTAAGAGAACAAACAGAAGCCGCCCACGTGTCAAAAATGGCCGCCTATCTCCGGTTGCCATTCAAAGGTGATCTGGCAATGCAGGTCAAACCACGTGTAGCCACAGTAATTCAACGAACATTTAGTGCTGCTAAACTTGTCCCCCTTTGAGCAACCAGGAAGCTACCAACGCTTCCTTTCAAGCTTACCCACCCGATCTCCACAACACATTGCATTTACCACTTTGTCCGTAGCTGGGGAAGCAGTTCCATCGGTAGAACCGATCGATATCTGGTAAGCGAGTCGGAGCACACATTCCGAAGTGGGTTGATGCCGTTATGAGAAGTCAAATACGAGGACAGGCGTTGAGCTTCAAAATGCTGACCTCATCGATTACTAAACATTTACTCAGCACATGTTGACCCGGACTTGGTGTTTTCGGTTATTTACTGCAGTGTAAATTCCAAAATACTCAAGTTTGCCGAGGCTGTGTCTCTCAATCGCTATCGCTCTGACATCTTTGTACACAGACTGCTGACTGTCACACTGAGGCTTCAGTGGAGACCATGATGCTTGTTTCATCAATACTGATTCTGCTGTAGCCTTTGACCTTTTGTGCCTACTCCTTCTTACCATCAGCATTCAAATTGATTGATTCTTTTCCTCAGTGATGGTTTAGTATGTTGCTCGTTTGCGTGTGATTAGAGAGCATGAAATAATATCATCTTGCAACATCCGTCTCCTCATTTTTGCTGTTTAGAATAACACGGAACCAGTGCTTCAAAAAATCAACCGTTTATTCTCGACATTGTAAGGTACGCCTGCATATACGTGATCATTCCAGAAGAACAACAGATAGTCGGCAAATGTACAAAAATGTCACTAGTTTGCCAATAACATACTGGATCTATGGACATGTGTGCTTGACTCCAAAAGTAGTTTCATATAGTTTGGAATGAGCTACGACCCAGTCGCCACCATGTGTATATCTGCTAAGCATCTTTCCTCCTGTTCGATTACATGACTGATGTACACCTTGAAAGGGTGTGGGCCGGCTCCGTTAATGAAACGTGGCTCCCATCCACCTGTCTCGTATTCTCATTCCCTCGCGTTGGATATGGGATCTGTGGATGGAGCTGTGTATGGTGCGTCACAAGTCATCTATGGTCCCCCTGTAGGCGTAGGCTTTCTGTGGCTGTTCTATGGAGGCCGCAATGCCAAGCAGATCCGGGATCGGACGCCGCGAACCATATCCTTGGCTTTGTAAACCTGTGGCTGCGTTTGTAGTCATTCGTTTGGATCGCTAGTGTGAGAAGGGATCGAAGAAAGGCTTCTATGTGAAGGACTGACCTCCTTAAAGTGGATCTTCATCCAAATACGCAAGGTACAGTGACTTTAGTTGGACGGAAGTCGCATCTATACGGTCGCAGCATTATTAACGCATTTGTAGCTTTTAATAGAGAGAACGCTTGTGAAGCTAAAACGCAAAAACAACCCTCATACTGTCGCCGAACGATTTGCTTTAACGGGATAAACAAGGACCACCCATCTGGTTTTTCGGCGAGCCATAAATAAACTTCTTTCACCGAACAGCGCCCGCGACCGAGCGTGACATTTTTTACCCCTTCTGCCAACGCACTCGTTGTCGCGCCCAAACAACCCAAGGCTCGGTAGACAGGGGATATTCTACAGCATAGCTCGTCTCTAGTTATTAATAAAACACATACTAATTTTGAAAAGCACGGTCACACAATCTCTAGTGTCTGTCCCCCAGCCAACGTGAGATGGTTCCGTTCCATTGATTTACCAGATTTGGCAGCATCGTTCCTCTCTGCTCAAACCCTGGACGCCGATCTGGATTTTTTGGCCGTTCAATTCGCTCTTGATTCCCAAATTTGGCGAAATAGGCGAACGTGATTTCTCGGCCGTGCGCATGGCCTACACACGCAGCTGACTGATCACGTGATCCTCGGCAAGCTGATGCGCACTGTAGCAACCGCGCGAGGTTACCGCCTTGTGCGTGGACATTGACTCCACTTGTACCTTTATTACCATACTTCAAATCGGTCGAGAAATCATATTTCACTTGGGGTTGGAACAGTCGGTCGCTGCACTTTTTGAGTAAAGTTTCGCTTTTACTATAAAAGCTCGTCAGGCAAGTTAACCGTTTATAATAAAGCGCAGCATTTCATAGCAGACAAGGATAAAACTCTAAATAACTGGGAAATGAGTCTTTGAACCACACTGCAGGATGCCACCTGTATTAGTCCAATCACAACGCGAATATCCCGGGTGTTACAACCTGCAATGCGTTGATAGATAGGATGATGATGACGGACACAATGTTCATTTTTAGATCGGACTCGCTCATTGTTGCATGTTAGACTGACCAGATTAGGATTTCTCACTCTCTCTATTAACTGCTAACGATTTAAACTCGCTCGCGCATGCTATATTAGAACGCTATTTCCGTACTATTATTAGTGCACATGCACCATTCGGGGTCCTCTTTTTTCTGTTCACTCCACTTCATTCTATGCGATCAGTAGACCATAACTTCACTTTTTAAGAGTCACTGGAACGCGTGCCGCTCCATGATGTCGAAATTCCCCAGAAGCTGGTTTTTGGATTGTTAGCCCTTAATGCATTTGGTTTCCTACGCACCACTGATTACAACTTGCAGTCGATTCTCATCAGACGGTCGCGATTAATAGTTTACCTTCGGTTCTCTCGACGAAGTCCGATTACGCTGCGGCCAGCTCTTGGTATTAGTCGTTTGTTGCACTATCTAGCTGAAAACGGGAATTTCTGATATAATGATGATGTTCCTTTTACTTTGTCTGGTGCAACGATCCTATCTACTTTGCGAATTAACTCTACGATGACAACTTCTGTTAGGGTCCCTTCGACGGCGCCATGATAGAGTTGCGAGCGGCCAGTTTGATGGATGGATCCAATGGGTCGACAGTCTACCATCGGGAAGATAGATGCGGATCGCCACTAGTCATTCCATGATGGTCTTATGTAAAGCCGTTGTAAACTATTCATGGCATTCTGTGCCGAATTTGTTTTAGGTTCCAAGTTTGCTGCATACTATTCAGGGAAGATAGTTGCTATCAAGCGTATTTTCGTGTTCGATCTGGAGTCATTTTAACTAAGTGATTCAGACTGACCGTACGAACCATTGCGCCCCTAAGTAAGACAGGTGTGCCTTGATTAGTCGGCAGATTAAATTATATCATCAGTGATTTTCACTCATCTTAAACGCTGAAGAGAGAAAACGGTCTTTTAACCTGATTATTTTTTGCTGAAATTCACCAAAACTATTGCTCGATACTGATTATGGAAGCATTCGACTATATTTGCTCGATATATATATATATATATATATATATATATGATTTGATCCTCTCAGCTCAAACTATCTGAATCCTTCTCATTATAGTCCGATTGGAGTTTCTCTGTTTAACCATTTTTCGTTGATAGACAATGCGGGTGACAATTTTTATTAAAGCGATGCGGTTCTGTTAATGAATATTAGTGAGTTACAGGAACTAGTAAGCGAACTGTGGAATTTCGTTGATGGCGTCGCGATTCCCCAATGATTGCCGAAACGTGACTGAATTGTAAGATGTTGAGAT